CACTATCACACACACATACTCACACACACACACCCACTTACATTATCTCACACACACCCACCCACTCACACTATCTCACACACACACCTACACACACTATCTCTCACACACACACACACTATCACACACACACACACTCACACATACTATCTCACACACACACACACTATCTCACACACATTATCTCACACACACACACCCACTCACATTATCTCACACACACACACCCACTCACACTATCTCTCACACACACACGCACACACACACACACACACTCTCTCACACACACACTCACACACACTATCTCACACACACACACTATCTCACACACACAATCTCACAAACACACGTACACACAATCTCACACACACACACAATCTCACACACACACACACAATCTCTCTCTCACACACACACACTCACTATCTCACACACATACACACACACACTCACTATCTCTCACACACACACACACACTATCTCACACACATACACACACACACACACAATCTCACACACGTACACACACACACAGACACACACTCTCTCTGTCTCCCACACACACAGAAATGAGACACCCCAGAATCAACAGCTTGTGTGCAAAATGACTTTGGCTGCAGATCAATATTTGGGCAATCTGTAAAGAATTCTTTTGTCCTGAGTTTAATTGTTACTTGGTTAATATAATTTTAAGGTAACACTGAAGAGTTTTGATTTTGTTTCTGAGCTTCGGAGAGAGGGTGGTGTATGTGTGACCTCTGCTCAAGTAAGCGTTACGTGCAATATAATAGTTCCTTATTTATTACTTATGGAGGAACCTGGCTAACATGTTTCTGATACTGTACTATATACCGTTTAATATATAATTGGCAATATCACCTCCCTTTTTTATGTTAAACTTTGTTTTATTCAGTGGAGGAGTTGGGCAAGAACAAGAATCAGGTCACCCCATCTAACTCGGCTGTAGTAAATTAATCAAAGTAAAAGATGTTTAACTCACAAAAAATGTTTGGAGCCTTGGACTGTGAGAAGGGAGGAGGTAAAGGTGAAGGTATTGTATCTCACGAGCATGAAAATGTGCTTCTGGAAGTCAGGTGTGGGAAAATTAAGAAGTGGACAGGAGTGTTGTGGAGGGAA